TCTTTCAGACCCCGGATACACAATGCGAACTCTATTTCTCTGTATTGTGAAATAATTTGTTCAACCTGTGTAATTTCTATCTTATTCTCCACTTCCTCCATTCTAAATTCCAGTCTTGCTGCATTTTCAGTAATCTCCTCCATTTTGTTGTCAATCTTTTCAATATGCAGAGCAAGACCTTGAAACGCAAATAATATATCATCTCTGACCTGCTTATTCTTTTTCTCCAATAATTCTTCTGTAATAGCCCTCTCTGCAATTATAAGATCTTTTACCTCCTCTTTAATATCCAAAGCATTCATTTTTAAAGCCTCTTGTAAGTCTTTAAGAGAAATTGCAAGAGGAGGAGAGGGTGGGGGTGATTTTGGTTTAGACTGAGAAGCAGGTTGAATCATTGGGGAGGAGATGGAAGCTTTAGGGACAGAGACCAAATGTTTTGAAGCCATTCTGTTAAGTTCAAAGGAGCAAAATTCTTGCCTCTATAATATCACAGCTCTTTAAATAGTATTAAAAAGAAAAAGAAAAGAAAAAAGGGAACAAAATTCTTGCCTCTATATTTAAAACATGAACTGTATCCAACTTTTAACTTTGTTGCAAAATCAAACAAGAAAGACAGTCGCCATTTTGCCTTTCACTTTCCCTTTCTTCAAAAGAAAAAGTAAACAATAAAAGGGGGAGAAGATGCTTGCAGGAGTTAAAGTCACAATCAATCTTAAATCCACTTTCTCCTGGTCTGCTCCGTCTGCATTCAAGCCTCCCAAAAAAGCAGATGTGGGAGCGGCGCCTTGCTTCATCCCAGAACTTCGGCACAAAGATGCCCTGGAGTGCGGAGTTGGCTCAGGCTCCGAGGGAGCTCTACCCTCCGATCCCCGAAATTATGGGGATCCAGGGGAGCTCTTTCCTCTACCTGAGCGGCTCTTCTCTTCCCTTTCTCTCAGGGAAGAGATTCAAGCCGCGGGACAGCTGATTGTCAAAGTCCCGCCAGCTTTTACATGACCCAGGGACGGGCAGCTTTGTGAAAAACTGCCATCATCGCTGCTTGATCCACTGGAAGCCCCAGTAGAAAGAAAACCTCTGAGTCTAGCAATTACAATTTATTCAACACAGTTACTCAGATTCCTCCATGATTTTTCCTTCTCTATTAATAATAAAAACTAGACCCCACCATCCTTGTAGCTGGTTCAGTTATTAATTCATCACATTCCTACATCCTTTCTGAAAAACTGTCTGGGAGATAACAAGAGCTCAGAGAATTCAGCCCAATTTGTCAAGAGGTTAATCAAGGACAAAATGCTTCACTGAAACATTTCTGATCCGGACTCTGCTAGTGACTGTACCTTCAGTTCCCCAAGGTTATTCCTTATGTGCACTACCGATATTAGGATGTAATTAATTCAACAAACCCCTGCATGAATCACTGCTGTGTCATGGCAAAGGGGCTTGTGAAACTCAAAAGATATGAGCCAAACCATGAAGGGCTACCCAAGATGGACAGGTCATAGTGGAGAGTTCTGACAAAATGTGGTCCACTCGAGAAGGAAATTGCAACCCATTCCAGTATTCTTGCAAAAAAAAAAACCCACACATGAACAATACCAAAAGGCTAAACCATATGATGCTCGAAGACGAGCTACTCAGTTGGAAAATGTCCAATGTGCTACTGGGGAAGAAAGAAGGGCAGTTACAAGTAGGACCAGAAAGAATAAAGCAGCCAGGCCAAAGCTGAAATGGCACTCAGCTATGGATGTATCTGATGCTGTAAGAAGAATATTACATAGGAATCTGGAATGAAGGATCTATGAATCAAGGTAAGTTGGATCTGGTTGAACATGAGATGGGAAGATTGAACATCAACATCTTGGAAATCAGTGAATTAAAGTGGATAATAATTCAGATGACCATTATATCGATTATTGTGGGCGAGAATCCCTTAGAAGAAATCGGCTGGCCTTCATAGTCTATAAAAGAGTAGGGGAAAAAAATACTGGGATACAATTTCAAAAATGACAGGATGATCTTGGTTCAAATTCAAGGCAAACCATTCAACATCACAATAAATCAAATCTATGCCTTAACCACTGATGTTGTAGAGGCTGAAGTTGACTGGTTCAATGAATATCTACAATACCTTCTAGAACTAACACCAAAAAAAGATTCCCTTTTCATCATAGGGGATTGGAATGTTAAAAGTAGGAAATCAAGAGGTAACCAGAATAACAGTAAGTTTGGCCTTGGACTACAAAATAAAGCAGGGCAAAGGCTAACAGGATTTGTCAAGAGAACATACTAGTCATAAAACACTCTTTTCCAACAAGCCAAGAGGCAACTGTACACATGGACATCAGCAGATAATCAATACTGAAATCAGATTGCTTATGTATTTTGCATCCATGGATAACAAGCTCTATATAGTCAGTAAAAAAAAAAAAAAGGACCTGGAGTTGACTGTAGCTCAGATTCTTCTTGCACATAACTAAGTCAGAATATGAGCAAATAGCCCAAGCTTGCAAACATGAAGTGAGGATAGCTAAGGCTCAAAATAAACTAAGGCTTGAGACCAAAGTAAAAAAAACAACAAAAAACTTCTTTCAACATGTAAAAAACAAGAAAAAAGTGAAGGAAATGATTGGTCCATTAGTGGGTAAAAGTGGCAAGAAGGTACAAGCAACAAGGAGAAAGCAAAGCTATTTAACTCGTTTTTTGCATCTGTCTTTACACAAAGGGAAAAAACAGACCAACCTATCAAAACTAGTGCCATAAAAACAGAATAGAAACACAAGTTAAGATAGGCAAGAAAACGCTAAGTTAGAACAATTAACCAGTGGAACAACATGCCTCCAGAAGTGGTGAATGCTCCAACACTGGCTGGACAGCCATTTGTCTGAAATGGTGTAGGGTTTCCTACCTGAGCAGGGGGTTGGACTAGATGACCTCCAAGGTCCCTTCCAACATCATCATTATTATTATTATTATTATTATTATTATTATTATTATTATTATTATGTGAGCACCTGTCCAGCCAGACAAGTTCAAATCACCAAGACCAGAAGGATTACACCCCAAGGTTCTCAAGGAATTGGCAGATGTGATCTCAGAACCATTGAACTATATTTTTCAAAGATCCTGAGCAATGGGGAATTACTGAAGGACTGGAAAAGAGCAGATGTAGTTCCCATCTTCAAAAAAGGAAAAAAAAGGGACCCAGGAAATTACAGACCTATCAGCCTGACCTCAATACCTGGGAAGATTCTGGAAAAGATAATCAAACAATGAATCAGCGAACATCTAGAGGCAAACAAAGTCATTACTAAAAGTCAACATGGATTTGTCAAAAACAGATCATGCCAGACAAATCTTATTGCATTCTTTGATCAGGTGACAAAATTAGTGGACCAGAGGAATGCTGTGGATATAATTTACTTGGACTTCAGTAAGGCATTTGATAAAGTAGATCACAACCTACTACTTGATAAGATAGAAAAATGTGGGATAGACATACCACCATATGGATTCGTAGCTGGCTGACCGGCCATACCCAGTGTGTGGTCCTCAATGGAACTGCATCTACATGGAGGGAGTAGAATACTGGGATAGATGGGGAACTCATCAGATTTGCAGACAACACCAAGCTGGCAGGAATAGCCAACACTCCAGACTTAAGATACAGGAGGATCTGGACAGACTTGAGCACTGGGCACTATCTAACAAAATGAAATTAAATGGTGAAAAACCAAATGTACAGGTATAGTATAGGGGGTACCTTGCTCAATAGTAGCAACTGTAAGAGGGACCTCGGAGTCCTAATGGACAATCACTTAAATATGAGCCAGCAGTGTGCTGCAGCTGCCAAAAAGGCCAACACAGTGCTAGGCTGCATTAACAGAGGGATAGAATCAAGATCAAGTGAAATATTAATACCAATTTACAATGCCTTGGTAAGGCCACACTTGGAATACTGCATCCAGTTTTGGTCACCACGATGTAAAAAAGATGTTGAGACCCTAGAAAGAATACAGAAATGAGCAACAAAGGTGATTAGGAGGCTAAAGCATATAAGGAACGGCTGCTGGAATTGGGTATTTCTAGTTTAATGAAGAGAAGGACGAGGAGGGACATGATAGCAATGTTCCAATATCTCAGGGGCTGCCACAAAGAAAAGAGAGTTAAGCTATTTTCCAAAGTGCCTGAAGGCAGGATAAGAAACAATGGATGGAAACTAATCAAGGAGAGAAGCAACCTAGAACTAAGGAGAAACTTCCTGACAGTTAGAACAATTAACCAGTGGAACAACCTGCCTCCAGAAGCAGTAAATGCTCCAACACTGGAAGTTTTTAAGAAGAAACTGGACAGCCATTTGTCTGAAATGGTATAGGCTTTGCTGCCTGAGCAGGGGGTTGGAATAGATGACAATATTTACTGGATAGTTAAAGGAATGCTTTAAAAGTACTGTCTGTCAAACCTATAATGCTGGAAGTGTTAAATGGATGGAAGGACATTTTCTGATAGGATACTGGATTGCCCCTGCTATTAACAATAATAAGCTCATTAATATGAGCAAAAAAGAGAAAACAAGAAAATCAAGGAAGCCAGGGGGCAATTTTCTATGCTTATATACAGTATATTTAGAAGTTTTGTGTTATATTTCAGCAGAATATGGAACATTCCAGCTATCTCAAATTTGTTCGACTATTACTCAGTTAACCCAAAATATCTTTGCAGAAGACTCTGAGTCAGGCTGTTAACTTAACTTGAAACAATCACAACTACATCTGATTGTGCATGCTCCTACAAGGCAGTCCTCTATGATAAGTCTAAAATCTATAGCGGAATCATAACTTGAGTATCACTAATACTGTGTTCTAATTTGGCTTAATTTATTTTGGCCTGGAACTATCCAGTGTGATTTGCAAATCAGCTTGATTTTCTTGTGGGTGGAATAGAGGGAAACCAACTGACAATTGTCTCTATTGAGAAGATCTAACTTATTTTCTGTCTTTTAGCACCCTGCAGTATTACAAGACAACAGCTAGCAACAAAAAACTTGTTTGTGTTTGGAAGTCAAAGAAAAGCTCGGCTTATTCAAAGTAATCATAGCCTGCAATTTCAGTGCAATGAAGGATATGTGCTTGTGGCTCCGTCAGTCAGAATGTGTGTTGACGGTTACATGGAGTTGCCTTTATGTATCTCTGGTAAGCGTCCTGTCAATATGATGGATTCCTTTGGGATTGCAGCTAATTAAAATAATTAATACAGCATAATGAATATTAACATTTGTTTCAAAAGTCACATTCTTTTAAAAGTGATTTAATCTTTACTGTAATCACTTATATTTTGGATTAGAATTTTAGTAGTTATAATCTAAAACAAAACAAAACAAAAATCTGAAGCACCTCAGACTGATGAAGGATGTTCTGGCATTTCACAAAACATACAAATTGTCTCTAAGATTCAATCCAAAATCTTGAGCTTCAGTGAAGAATTTTACTTCCTTATAGTTGAAGATATGCATATTATTGGTAGGCATAGGAATTTGTATGACAAATTGCAATGGTTGTATAAAAATATGTTGATGTCATGTCATTAAAGGAGAATTTAACTTGAAGGATACTTGATGGTTAAATCATCCTATAAATAGAAAGTATACTGTGCTATGCTCACATAACTGATGGATGATTTTTATGCTGATCAAGTTGAAGAGATTAAAATTAAAATATTGGGTGCCTGGTAAATTAGCAGGTAAATTGTTAGCATATTGTTTAAAATAAATGAGACAGCAACATATAAAGTTTAAAATATTTACATCTGGTGGTCTGAAAATTACAAATACTGAATGTATTAATTAATTTTTTTCCAATGGAATGAGCAATTATACAAAATTGATATTACTATGCATTTATGTAATCATATCAATCTATGTGTAATAATTAATTGAATTGAATATTATCCTTTATGGTCTTTATTATAAAGTAATCATTTGGAAGCCTTGCAAGGTGGATCATAGAGGATGTATGATCAAATGAGCTAATTCTACTTCTCTGCAGGATTACATTAACAGAATCTTGCAATCCTAAAGTACATTCTTCCCTTGTATGCTTTACAACTCTTGAGACTGGGAGGGTCTCTTTGAACAGTGTCAATATAATCAATTTAATCATATTTTATTGTCAACCAAATTGAGTTTGAATCTGTATCTGAAATTTTAAAATATCTTTAAAGTTGAAATTGGTGATATTTCTGATTTATGGGATGAAGATGGAATATTTGATAATAGAATTTATGTAAGACTTTAAAACTTGTTAAGCATGTCCCTTGGACTTGAGCTTGAAATGAATTTATGAAAGGATTTTATTCTGAGTTTAATGGAACTTCTGAAATACTATTTCAGGAAGATTTCTGATTGTAGCTGATATAGATTTTTTTTTGTTGCTGATGTAAGAAATGTGAGGGCACATTAACTGATTTGATTTGATCGTGGCCAATTTTGGTTTTCTTTTAGAAGAATATTATAGCAAATGCAAGAGTTTGTAAATGTTTTCATGTTAAAGATGTCAATGCTATTTGGAAAACTACTACTACTTTAAATATCAAAGAGTGTATCCAAGAAATATATAACTTATCAATTTTTGATATTTTCATTCTGCAAAGAATAAATGTCATTGCATAATTTTTGTCATAGATTTTATTATAAGGACAGAATATCTTTATAGGTAATTTGAAATTATCAACATATATAGAACAAATTTAGATGATTTAGATCAGGCATGTCAAACTGCCGGCCTGCGGGCCGCATGCGTCATTTTGAAATTGCACCTACCACATTGCAGGCAATGGGGGAAAAGTCACAATGCATAGCACGATGTCACATGAGGTCGCGAGTTTGACATGCCTGATTTAGATCAATTTAACATATTAATTCTTAGAGAAGAAATTGCTAGTTTGTTTACTTTTTCATCTACTTCATGCTTTTATACTTAATAGAAAGAGGGAGAAACTGCAGTGGTCCACCCAGGATTGAGAATGGAGACATTATTACTTTATCTGAGAAGCAGTACAGATCTGGCTCTTCAGTAGAATTCAGATGCCAAAAACATTATGCCATGGATGGCCAGAACAGATCTTTTTGTGACAATGGGGCCTGGACAAAAGTGCCCATTTGCCTTGGTAAGCAGAAAGGAAAGTCTTCATCTAATTTTCATGAGCATTTCTACTCATTAAGGTTCACTGCTTTCTTTCTCTCTTGCATAACGATCATTTAATTGCTCTTGCTTGCAGCAGCTCTCTTTTATACAGTATACAATTTCATATCTATATCTGAGGTGAAGTAGTTACTAGATGAAAGCTAAATTCTACTATTAGAATTTTGCAATAAGATAATATAATTTATTTGTATCCTGACAGCCTTCTCTAACAATATTTGCTTTCTTTTCCACCTCAGAGCCCTGTGTGATCCCCAGGGCTGAACTGGAAAGCCAGATGATAAAACTTAAAGATGGAATAGATGTGCCTGAAAATACATTTGTGCAGCGTGGTCATTCTATTGAGCTGACCTGTAGAACAGGATACGTTCTGCCAGTAGATTCTTCACAATCAGCTTCTATAATCCATTGTGATGGGACAACACCCGTGATTCCTAAATGCAAAGGTGACTTTAAATGTTTATTGTATAATCCTACTATCACCAATCCAGAGCCAAAGCACTTCATGTGCTTTATTGGTACCAATATTTGTATCCCTCTTGAAGTGTTTTTGGTTGGGCTGCACTTTTCTTTTGTCAAAGGTTCAATGGAAATTCTGGAAATTTAGTTGAAATAGGACAACCTGAAAGGCTGGAGATTGCTGGAGAGAGAGTGAATGAAAGACAATGAAAGACACACCCACTGGCCATTTCATGGCTAGGTTAGCGCACAAACTGCACACTGCAGAATCCCCCCCCCCAGAGCAATCCCCCATTGCTCTTTCATCAATGTAGAGTATTATATCTGTATAGCAATAATTTTATATCATTGAACAATACAGTAATTGCTTTGGCTGACAATAAATGCCACAGCTGAGCTACTATTGTTTCTATTTTTAAAGAATTTTTAACTATTACCCTACCAAAATCTAAGTATCAATACCAATAGAGATTCCAACTCAGTTACTAACAAAACTATAGGAACTTCTGTAGTTACAGGTACAGAATAATGCTGTGCTTCTAATTTTGGTACTAGCAGATCAGAGGATGTCTAGTGAGGGACATTGCAGAATTCTGGCAGTTCAGCCTTTCTCAGAAACAGCAGTTCCACCACAGGCATTAAAAGGACTTCATGGAGATGTTTGTTTATGCATATCTGCCATTTCTATACCATATTGATCCTTGTGGATTCTAGGCAGTTTACAGATTAAAATAGCAATAAAACGTATTCATGACTAAAAATAAATCATAATAAAAATGTGCATATATAGACACAAAATCCCTGTGGTTCTACACTCACTACTATCTTCAAGAAAGCCAGGACGGTGACTGACATCTTTTACATAGGGCACCTGTTCCCAAGGAGGGGAGCAAAGAGAAGTTCTGATATCACTCCCTGACTAACCCGAAAGCTGGGGACTCTTAGAAAATGTTGTCTTGCCATCCAGGTTAGACAAACCATGGCTATTTGGAAAAGTCAATGTCATAGATGCCCCATACTTGAGCTATAACCAACTTTAAAAGTCGTGTCCAGAACCTTGGATTGCATCAGAGGTACATTGATAGCCAGTGCAGCTCCTGCAGAAGTGATGTATCATAACAGAACTAAGAGTGTACACTGACCATACAGGATATTGAATTCTAGACCAGCTGATGATTTGATGATATCCCCAAGGCAATTCTAGGAAGAGCTAATCAATTGTTTAATTACATGCTAAGAAGTTGATATCAACTCTCAGCAATCACATAGATTGATTTTCTCTGGGAAATCTGTCTCAATCTGTCCTTCAGATCTTCCAGCAATGCATCATTCACCACAGTAATTGAGTCCATCTATATTATTGTTGCTGATCCTCCGCCTCAATATTGTCATCATGGATACATGACCTCTCCTAACTCTGAATAGAAGTTGAACAGGAATGGGAAAAGGAACAAGCTCTGCAGGCTCCATTACTGCATTTGAAGGCCTGACCTCTTTTCGCTGTCACAATTAACTATAACCTCAAACAGGAACGGAATCACTACAATGTGGAGCCCCCAATTTTTGCAATCTTGCGGGTAGTTGAAAAAGCTACTGGGATCAACAGAGTGACTGAATAGCAAGAATGGGTTTATCAAATTGTAGCTTTACAGTATATTTCAATTCAAAACCAAAGTGAAGCAGATGAATAATTATAGCAACTTGCTGAATTTATTTATGATCTCCCAAATAAATGGTAGCCTTGGGCTGATTTCACAGTACATTTTAGATACTAATTGGCAATATTATATTGTTTAATGCCCATTTAGTAGGCATGAATACTGATTAAAATGGTCTCATGGTGCTATGTATATTTTAAAAATAATAATAGTATTTTTATGTGCTAACAATCTGATATGAGTGCAGGCTTTTCTTTTTTCAATATAAGATATTATTTATTTTCCCTAGAAATTACATGCAATTCTCCAAGAATATCAAATGGTTCTTTCCGACCTCAAAGAACTATATACCACAATGAGGATCTAATTCGAATTCGGTGTGACAATGGATTTACTTTTAAACCAGATAATGGAGAAAAGGTAGTTGAATGCACAAAAAATGGATGGTCACCTCCACCAAAATGTGTCAGTAAGTACAACTTGCATGTATTACTATGATTATAGAAGGGCTGAGATATTTAACTCTGCAGAAGCATACTTTTAAACATTATTTTATGTAATTTTCAATTATTTTTGACTAAGGCAGGAGTTCCCAACCACTGGACTAAGAGATATATCTCAACCAGAACATTTGAGCAGATTTTGCACATAGCTAAAGCGCTTATTTAGTTGCAGCAGGATACAGGAGACATGATAGGAGGATATGCTATCAGAACAGAATAGACAAGATAGTACAGTTGCATTGCCATCCATTCACCTTGAAAAAATTCTGGACCAATTGTAACTTTCAGATAGTCTTCAAGGGCAGTCCTATATAGAGCACATTGCAGTAATCCAATTAGGAAATGACCAAAGCATGAATGACCATGAGCAAGATCTCCCAGTCCAGATAGTTGTGCATTTTGCATATAAGATGAAACTGTGCAAGCCCCCCTCCCCAGCCACAGATGCCAGATGTCCTCATGCAGGATCTGTGAGTCTAGAACAGTGGTTCTCAACCTTTTTAATGCCACGACCCCCAACCGGTCGTAAGTCAAGGACTACTCAACCGGTCGTAAGTCGAGGACTACTCAACTACTCAAGAGAGTCTATGCTATTGGCTTTCAAAAGCCAATAGAATAAAAGGGAGTAGCACAGCTAAGGAAAAGGGGAAAAAAATGGCAGACTGCGTTGTTTGGCAACCCCCGTGAAATGGTCGTTCGACCCCAAATGGGGTCCCGACCCACAGGTTGAGAACCACTGGTCTAGAAGAAGCCCCAAATTGCACACTAGCTCAGTCTTTAGGATAAAATCATGGCATATGACAAATTACCAATAGAAATACAAAGACTGCAAGCATAAAAAATAGTGTCCAAAAGAGACCTGACATCTACAATGAAGGATGCAAATAAAGTGTTTGCAAGATTTAAAACATCTATGAACCAGACCAATCAGTTTTCCTACAGTACAGCCATAGTAGTTAAGCAGAATTGAGTATCAAAATTAGGAATCATATTCAGTCCAAAAGTGGAAGATCAGCCTGAACACCAGGTAAAGAAAGTAAGATAAGATGCAACCATTTTTTTAAAAAAATAAAAGAACAAAAATTGATAATAGAAGGCTCATAACAAACCTATTAAAATAATATTAATAATAATATTGATGATGATAATAATAATAATAATAATAGTAAAGTTGGAAGGGACCTTGGAGGTCATCTAGTCTAACCCCCTGCTCAGGCAGGAAACCCTATACCATTTTGGACAAATAAATAGAAAGACTGTGGCAAAAGCAAGCAAGGGTAGTACCAATAGTGATAGGCTCCTTGGGTGCAATCCCAAAACAACTGGAGCACCATTTGAACACCATTGGCATTGACAAATTCGCTATTAGTCAATTGCAAAAGGCGGCCTTGCTAGGAACTGCTTCCATCCTGCGACGATATCTGTAATACCATCAAACATCCACATCTGCCTATCCCATGTCCTGGGTAAGGACTCGATAGGTAGACAAAATGCCAAATCCAGTCTGAACATCTGGCTGACTGTGCAATGATCCATAATAATAATAGTAAAGTTGGAAGGGACCTTGGAGGTCATCTAGTCTAACCCCCTGCTCAGGCAGGAAACCCTATACCATTTTGGACAAATGGCTGTCCAGTCTCTTCTTAAAAACTTCCAGTGTTGGAGCATTCACCACTTCTGGAGGCAGGTTGCTCCACTGGTTAATTGTTCTAACTGTCAGATAATTTCTTAGTTCTAGGTTGCTTCTCTCTTTGGTTAGTTTCCATCTATTGCTTCTTATCCTGCCTTCAGGTACTTTGGAGAATAGCTTGACTCCCTCTTCTTTGTGGCAGCCCCTGAAAAATTGGAACACTGCTATCATGTCTCCCCTCGTCCTTCTCTTCATTAAACTAGACATACCCAATTCCAGCAGCCATTCCTTATATGCTTTTGCCTCCAGTCCCCTAATCATCTTTGTTGCTCTTCTCTGTACTCTTTCTAGAGTCTCAACATCTTTTTTACATCACGGTGACTAAAACTGGATGCAGTATTCCAAGTATGGCCTTACCAAGGCATTGTAAAGTGGTATTAACACTTCACGTGATCTTGATTTTATCCCTCTGTTAATGCAACCTAGCACTGTGTTGGCCTTTTTGGAAGCTGCAGCACACTGCTGGCTCATATTTAGATGATTGTCCACTAGGACTCCGAGGTCCCTCTCACAGTTACTACTATTGAGCAAGGAACCCCCTATACTATACCTGTGCATTTGGTTTTTCTTGCCTAAATGTAGAACCTTGCTTTTTTTACCATTGAATTTCATTTTGTTAAATAGTGCCCCGATCCTTCTGTATCTTAAGCCTGTCTTCTGGAATGTTGGCTATTCCTGCCAGCTTGGTGTCATCTGCAAATTTGATGAGTTCCCCATCTATCCCCTCGTCCAAATCATTGATGAAGATGTTGAAGAGCACTGGGCCCAGAACAGAGCCCTGGGGCACCCCACTACACACTTCCCTCCTTGTAGATGCAGTTCCATTAAGGACCACTAGCTGAGTACAGCTGGTCAGCCAGCTATGGATCCATATGGTGGTGATGCTCTCTACCCCACATTTTTCTATCTTGTCAAGTAGTAGGTTATGATCTACTTTATCAAATGCCTTTATCAAGTCCAAGTAAATTAAGGGGGGGCAAATGACATTGCCATAGGTGTATACTACAGACCACCCAACCAAACAGAGGACATAGATGAACTTTTTGCTAGTCAGCTAACTAAGGTATGTAGGAAGCACATCACAATAGTAATGGGGGACTTTAACTACCCTGACATCAACTGGGAGACAAACTCCGCACCAAGTGGAAGATCAAACAGGTTCCTGGCAAACCTAGCAGACAACTTTGTCTCCCAAAAAGTAGAGAAGGGAACTAGGGGATTAGCCATTTTGGATCTAATTCTCACTAACAGAGATGAAATGATAGACGGTGTTGAAGCCATAGGAACCCTGGGAGGAAGTGATCATGCAATATTAGAATTCAACATTATAGAAGCACAACCAATAGAATACAGTCAAACTAGAGTCTTGGACTTCAAGAGAGCTAATTTCAATAAACTTAGAGAGGGCTTGGGAAGGATTCCATGGTGAGAATCCTCAAGGGGAAAACAACTCAAGAAGCTTGAGAAATTTTGAAAAATGAGATAATAAAAGCACAGTCTAGCACAATACCAACAAAGAGGAAAAATAACAGCTCTCAAAAGAAACCAGCATGGCTGCATAAAGAACTCTCTGACAAATTGAAAGATAAAAAGGACAAGTATAGAAAGTGGAAAGAGGGGAACATAACTAAGTCAGAATATCAGCAAATAGCCCGAGCCTGCAAAGATGAAGTGAAGAAAGCCAAGGCTCAAAATGAACTAAGGCTTGCGACCAAAGTCAAAAATAACAAAAAAAGCTTCTTTCAACATGTAAAAAACAAAAAAAAAGTGAAGGAAATGATTGGTCCATTAGTGGGTGGAAGTGGCAAGAAGGTGACAAGCAACAGGGAGAAAGCAGAACTATTTAACTCATTTTTTGCATCTGTCTTTACACAAAGGGAAAAAACAGACCAACCTATCAAAAATAGTGCCATAAAAACAAAACAGAAACACAAGTTAAGATAGGCAAGAAAATCGTTAGTGAGCACCTGTCCAGCCTAGATGAGTTCAAATCGCCAGGACCAGACGGATTACACCCCAGAGTTCTCAAGGAACTGGCAGATGTGATATCGGAGCCACTGAACTATATTTTTCAAAGATCCTGGAACACAGGGGAACTACCAGAGGACTGGAAAAGAGCTGATGTAGTTCCCATCCTCAAAAAAGGAAAAAAAATGGATCCAGGAAATTACAGACCTATCAGCCTGACCTCAATACCTGGGAAGATCCTGGAAAAGATAATCAAACAACGAATCAACGAACACCTAGAGGCAAACAAAGTCATTACTAAAAGCCAACATGGGTTTGTCAAAAATAGATCATGCCAGACAAATCTTATTGCATTCTTTGACCAAGTGACAAAATTAGTGGATCAGAGGAATGCTGTGGACATAATTTACTTGGACTTCAGTAAGGCATTTGATAAAGTAGATCACAACCTACTACTTGACAAGATAGAAAAATGTGGGGTAGACAGAACCACCACCAGATGGATCCGTAGCTGGCTGACCGGCCGTACTCAGCGAGTGGTCCTCAATGGAACTGCATCTATATGGAGGGAAGTGTGTAGTGGGGTGCCCCAGGGCTCTGTTCTGGGCCCAGTACTCTTCAACATCTTCATCAACGATTTGGATGAAGGGCTAGATGGGGAACTCATCAAATTTGCAGACGACACCAAGCTGGCAGGAATAGCGAACACTCCAGAAGACAGGCTTAAGATACAGAAGGATCTGGACAGATTTGAGCACTGGGCACTATCTAACAAAATGAAATTCAATGGTGAAAAAAGCAAGGTTCTACATTTAGGCAAGAAAAACCAAATGCACAAGTACAGCATAGGTGGCACCATGCTCAACAGTAGTAACTGTGAGAGGGACCTCGAAGTCCTAGTAGACAATCACCTAAATATGAGCCAGCAGTGTGCTGCAGCTGCCAAAAAGGCCAACACAGTGCTAGGCTGCATTAACAGAGGGATAGAATCAAGATCACGTGAAGTACTAATACCACTCTTCAATGCCTTGGTAAGGCCACACTTGGAATACTGCATCCAGTTTTGGTCACCACGATGTAAAAAATATGTTGAGACTCTAGAAAGAGTACAGAGAAGAGCAACAAAGATGATTAGGGGACTGGAGGCTAAAACATATAAGGAACGGTTGCTAGAATTGGGTATGTCTAGTTTAACGAAGAGAAGGACAAGGGGGGGGGACATGATAGCAGTATTCCAATATCTCAGGGGCTGCCATAAAGAAGAGGGAATTAAGCTATTTTCCAAAGCACCTGAAGGCAGGACAAGAA